TTTCCCCATCCCTTCTGCAAGGCCCTAAGATAACACCCAGGACTGAGGTCTTGACATATGGAGCAAATGGATAAAGAGACAAGTAACTGTCCCCAAATCCTCTTGCTCTCATCTCATGAAAGTTGGGCTGAGGCACGACAGTTGGTCCCTTTCTGTTGAGTTAGGCAGCACATGAAGCAGAGCTTCAAGCAGTTTTTCCTGGGGGTTGGTGATGTTTCTTGAATATCGCTAAAGGAGTAATGAGAGTTGAAATCTAGAACTGCCTGCCCATATTCCCAAAGTACCAAACCTGTGCCAAAGATAAGTGGCAAAGGTAAAAAAGGAACTGCTTCTTGCTTGTAAACCTTGAAAAGATGAGCAAGGCCTTATTGGATGCTGATGCATAGAAACTCTAAAATGTCTCCTTCTCCACGTCTTGAGATCTTGACTTTTATATCAGATGAGGTGAGATAAGGTCCATTGCAGGCTTGGGAATAGGAAGGCCAGGCTCCCTAGACATCAGACAGATGTACAGAAGCCCTCTCATTAAGTCTAGCCTTAATATGACTTCTGGGGATAATCCATGATCTAAAGTGACTTACAAACCAATAGTTTACCATGCTCAAAGGCATGCAGATGGGATTGGATATGAGGATAAGGAAAGAAACACAGACTTTAAATGTCATCACTCTGAAGCTCTTGATTTCCTGGGTTTCTCTTTGTGGCTGCTCCATTAACCCTGGGTTGGGTTTAGCTTTCTGAGAACAGTTGGGAAGTTTGGGTAGAAAGGCAGTCAAGCATCTTCCCCATTTCTAATTTTACATCCATCAGGAGTGAGCTACTGTAACAGTTCCACCCTCTCTCTTACCTGATGAGTGAGCATGCAGAGCTATGCTCCTGTATCCGTTAGGGTCTGGCTGTCCATAGCAAGCTTAGGTTTTGCTATCCTATCTACCATGAGGTATCTGATCCCACAGAGAAGTCCTTGGTGACCCTGTGCTTCCTCAGCCATGTGGGAAATCTGGCCAAATCCTAAAGTCCTATAACAGGAAACCCATTGTCCAAAGGTATGTGACTTATCACATTCTCTAATGTTAGTTGGCCATAAAGACAATATGACTCTTCATTTGTTCATTCTTTGGCCTCAGAAACTGTGTAGGGAAAAGAGAGTGTTAGGTTCCTTCAGTGCCTAGGACCTGTAGTTGCGATGGAGAATTTGTTTTGGGTGCTGAAGTGAAGAGGAGCAAAGGAGTTGAAATCCCAGTGGAATCCATTCTCTTTGTACAGAAACATCTACTTCCAATATTGGATTATGGAGCCTATCCAACAGCTAGAAGATGGATGAGATGACCTCCCTGGGAGGGGGAAGGACCTCACTTCAACAACATCAATACTCTCAGCTGGACCTGTCACAAGAACCCAACCTAGTGGATATAGGAGAAGCCAAGGTTATTGGGTGTCTTTTATTCCCATTACCAAACTTCTGGAAGAGCACCCTCATGCCTGATTTCCCTCCACTTTTGGTTCTTGGTCTGCTCTATATTCCTTGAGTGAAAGGCAAACAACAGAATGTGAAATTCAACACAATTTATTGAGAAGAGGAAGTAAAACATAATCATCACCAGAGGATCCTTGGCTCAAGGTACTAAGGGGATAGAGTTGAGTCAGGATGTGATGACTAGACATGGAGAGGGCTCCCTGAGAACCCCACAGTCTGAAGATGTTGACCTTCTAGCTCAAGCTCTGACCCCACTGCCCTGTCCTTCTCAGGTGGTGCTGACATGCGCCACTGACATGCACCCACTGCTGCAGCAGCCACTGACCTCAGACCACCAACTCCTCATGAGAGAGGAAAGTGGTGGAGTGGGAGTAGGCCAGGCTGGATGGCCCAGACAGGCTCAGGTGTTGCTCAGGCTTCAATTGTTGCTGTGCCAAGTCAGGGAATCTTCCAGAGACAGCATCATCCCAAACTATAACTAGATCTCTCTGGCCTAGAAGAGGACTTGGAGGTGGAGATGGAGATGAAGATAGAGATGGAGATGGAGTGGAGATGGAGATAGAGATGGAGATGGAGATGGAAAAGCCCCTTCTCCAGGGGACTTGAGGGAAAGTGTGGTTGAGTCATAGGTACCTGTTGACCCCAGGCAAAGTGTGGGGAGTGATTTGCAGGCTGGGAGGGCAGCAGGCGGGGATGGAGACTTGGAGAATTGCTGGCTGGAGCTGGCAGGAGAATGGGACACTGGTGCTGCCCCAACTGTCAGAGGTGTAGCCATGGCCTACAGAGGTCTTGTTGCTTTCAAAGCTGAAGCCCATTCCACTGTGCCCCATGGAACTGCTGTCTCCACAGCCAGTCCACTCCACTGCTCCCACTCTGGTAGACCCTGCTGTTGCTCCTGCCCCTCTGCCACAGGCACTGCTGACCCCTCCACAGCTGCTATCCCTGGAACCACTGCTGCAGCAGCCACTGAACTCACTGAAGCCTCCATGGACACTTCCAGAGTGCTGCTTGTGCTGGTGACATTGTTGACCACCACTAAGGGAGAACAGACTCTCAATTCAGGAGAAAGGCCTGGGAAGCTGGAGGCCCAGCTATTTCAGACCCACCCCTGCTTAGCTGTGTGACTTTGAAGAAGATGTTCGGCTTCTCTCAGTCCTCTGTTTGCAAACAGTAGTGAGTCTGGCTCTCTGGTCCCCTTGTCCATGAACAGGAACCAGAAGTACCCACAGAAATCTCTTGTTCTCCAACCTAGGGGACACCCTACAACCACAAGGTTTGAACTTTGGCCTGAGATGCTGCCAGCTTACATAAGGAGCATAGTGTATGGTCATGGCCAAGACCCTGGCTTCCTAAGGTGCCTCTGTGGGTGAGTCAGGCCCTCTTGCCTAAAGATCAGTCCATGAGAATGTTTCCAGATGCCCATTTTACAACCCAGGAAGGATATTTTTGAATGTGGTACTTACAAATGCTTACAGTATTCTGACACTCTCCAGTCATCCTGAAAAGGGAGAAGAAATGATTTATTTGAGCAAAAAAGTCAATAGCCAAACAACTTGGGGCTCATATCCTTGGGAGCCCTCTTCCCATGTGTCCCACTAGGGATCAAGCTCCTAGGAGAGGAAAGATTATTCCCAGTCTGTTTCCATGACCTTATCTCCCCAGAAAAGAGGGCTGAGACTTGCAGTATCCCCAACAACCATATTCTATCTTTTCATCTTCCCACCCTCTTTCCCTTAGCCCCAAAGATTTATTCCCAGCAAACTACCAACCCTCACTTGATTAGTTCCACCACTTGATTAGTCCTCATCTCTCACCCCTGCTAAGACCATTTCCAATTTTCCTCTTCCCAGAAGTCTTCCCCATGCAGCCCTAGTGAAACGATGGGGAAGGGCAGTGTAGAACTGACAGTTGTTCAGAGCAGAGAAAATATGAGAGGGGCCATCACCCAATGCATGATAAATTTGATAATGTCCCACCCACACTGCTCCTGTTCAAGAGCTTGTTCTTATTCACGGAGCAGACCTGTCACATATCTGAGCAGACATGGATGTGCTGGTGCACCTTGCCACTGTGTGCTTCTGGTATCAACTACTCCCTCCTCATTCATCTCTTAGTACAACTTAACTCATCTTTACTCTCGCTCCTTCCCATAGAGACTTCCCATAGAGACTTTTTTTCCTCATACTTTGGTCCTACTTCCTCCAACAGACTGGGAGCTTCCTGAAGACTGAGGCTCTGAATATAGGCAGAGGGTCAGCAGAAATATCCCTGTATTCCCAACCCAACCCTCACAGGTAATATCCACTAAGATTTACCTGCCAATGTATGTTATATGTCAAGAATCTATATGTATCAACCTCTCCCCCATGTAGACTCAGCTTCAGAGATGGGCTTGCAGGACTATCCATACTGAACTGTCCAATATGGTAGCCATTAATCACATGAAGCTGCTTAAATTAATTAAAATTAAATGTAAAATTCAGTTCCTTAGTTGTGCTGGCCACATTTGAAATCTCCAAGTGGATAGTACAGGTACAGAATATTTTTATATTCTAGAAAGTACCCGTGGACAGCCCTGGTCTATAACCTTTGTCATAATCCCAGAGCACTTTCCCCCCCACACTTTGCACACAGTGAAGATCAACAGAAGTATGTACTTCAATACTGATGTCCATGATACACTGGAGAATTAGATGATAATGACTGATGAAATAGAATGAGACTTCCATTCTTCACTCTTGTTCAGGAGGCTCCTTGCCCATTGTCTGAATTGTTCTCACCTAATCTTGTCCCCTTTCCTTTCACTAAAGGTTATTCTAAAGTTCTATCTGGAGAATACTCACCTGCACTCCTCACCCTCCAGCAGCTTGCAGAAGGTGGCAATCTCCATGTCCAGGACCAGCTTGACATTCATCAGCTCCTGGTAGTCATGCTGCAGCTGGACCAGGTCATCCTTGGCCTTCTGTAGGACAGCCTGCAAGTCTTGGAGTTTGGCATTAGCATCCTTGAGGGCCAATTCCCCATGCTCCTCAGCTTCTGCAATGAATGCCTTTGGCATTCTGGGGCAAGAGGAGGTAAAAGATGAATTAGCATAGTGACCAGGAAACAAATACCTGATTGTTTACTTTCCCTCATCCAGCATTCCTCCTTCCCCTGCCTTAGAAATCCCAAGGAGCATGCTTTGAAAACAAGTCAGTTTTACAATTGGTTAATTCATTCTTGGCCCATTGAAATCAACTCATGACTCATGGAGAAATAGAACACTGATTTGCTTTCCTAGGCTGGCAAAGGTAGTAATGGTCTGATTAGTTACTGACTTTTTTTTTTCAGGACTGTTAAAACCTCCCTTGCTTAATCACTTTATTCTGAATACAAAGATGCCATCGAGGTTATGTAAGGAATACTATAAGTAGCTCCACAGAAGGCAGAGCCTGCTGAGAACTTAGTATTTAAAGACAATATTGCAATGGAAGATTTGCTGAGCAAACGAAAATGGGCAACCATTTCTCCTTAGGGGGCACTACAAGAAGCCCAGCCTCCAGGAGGAACATCTGGGAGAAGAAAGGCTCCCAGAGACTATGCCATAAGACACCATGAGAGTGTGTGGCAAAGGAGTCCAGATGGTACTTCCTTTTCTCCCCAAAGCTCCAAAAACCTCCAGGATCACATCTTTGAGCCTGGACCCCCACCCCCACCCCCTGCTTCTTGATGTCCTCAATGTCTGCCTGCAGCCTCTGGATCATCCTGTTGAGCTCCATGATCTCGCTCTTGGTGCCCTGCTAGGTAATTCCCATGCCAGCCAGCTGTGCTCTGCAGCTCCCCAAGGTGATAGAGAAGAAAGTGATAATGTAAGCCTTACAACATCTTGTCATACTCTTGATGACAGTCATAGGGACCTAAAACTAGAGTTTGGGAATGGGTGGGGGTTCCCACCTTGGTCTGGTTTAGTCTGCAGCCAACGCAGACAGGAACGATTCGGTCACGCAGGAAAATCCTCAGAGAGTTTAAATTAAAGACACAGACACACAGTTATCTTTAAACCAACTCCAGGACGGCTCCTCGAACCCTCAGCCTCAAGCTCCCCACGGGGCAGCGAGGTTTCACTGAAGAAGCTATCAAGAGAGCGAGCACTCTAGGGAGAGGGCTTTTACTGGGGAACAAAGAATTCTGGGGAAAATCCCATCCAATGAAGGTCAAAGGGGGCAGTGTTGCAAGGTCAGGTGCCATGATTGGATCTTTGGGGCAGTGGTGAGACATGCCTCCACACTGACAAGCCCTCAAACCCAAAAAGGGTGGGGAAAGCTCTGCCATGTTAAAAGTGACTGAGTGCCTCACACCCAGCCAGGGAGGAAACTCAGTCACGTGCAAGATGGTCTGCCACAGTCTGGTACAGGGCCTCAGCCTCAGCCTTGTTCCTCTGGGCAATCTTGTACTGAGTGCAGACCTCAACAATGAGGCTGTCCAGGTCCAATTTGCAGTTCTTGTCCATGGAGAGGACCACAGACATGTCACTGACATGGCTGTGCATCTGGGACAGCTCCTACAGGGAACATGAATGAACCCTGACCCCAGAGGATGCTAGGAGTCCCCTACCAACAGAGATACCCCAAAGATGGAGATAGGGGATGGGACAGCTAGAAAAATAAGCTTATATTTCAGGTTGGACTATAATAAAGGATGCCAGACAACAAGGCTAAAACAAAAAGACAATGTGTAAATAGAGTCAGGTTGTCAGCCTGAAAGCATCAGCCAGCAAACCTTGCTGGATGGGTCTGCGTGGGATCACAGTAAGGAGGGGTGTTATGAAGAATCTGGCTGCGATACTGGACCAGAGCCAGAGGGAAGGTGTAGAGTAAAAAGGGCTGAGATGGAGAGAGGCCTTGGACCACCACCATGGGCAGGTCCGTGCAGGCAGGAACAGCAAAGTTAACATTTCCTGGTTGGAACAACCAATAAAAAAAAAAAAGAAAAGAAAGAAACAAAGCTGAGTTCTGAGCCCTGTGGCAGGTTTTGGTAGTGTGTCCTGCCCCTGGGCCATCCCCCAGAGTTATCACAGGGAAGATGACAACAGGCTGTCTCTGGAGCTTAGCACGGTTTCACAGAGGGTTGTGGGGAAGTTGACTTCCTCTGTCAGGCAGCCCACGTTAGCTCCTTCTGGTTCATGTAAGCTGCATCCATGTCCTGAAAGAAAGAGTCGGAAACCTGAGGACTGACCCGGTCCCCTCCCACCCTCCGTGCTTTCCAAGCCCTCGTCTCTCTTCCTCGTTCCAAGTATGACTTCTCAGCTTCCCTTTTAAAAGAAAGAAAATCAAAGTCGGTTTTTTTTCCTTTCAATTGCTTTGACCAGTGAAACCTAATGTTGTAACAAAATACAAACTATATTAGCCGATTAGAGTAACCATCTAGTTTTAGGATAGAAAAATCATATTTACCTAGCATGTGTGTGATTTGGGTTATATGGTGTGCCAAAAACCCAGTCTCCTGAATAAAAATGGATATTTTAACTACTTCATCTTTATAACGACTAGCTTAATTAAGCTATAGTTAGTTGATTGTGGTTATTAATATCCCTCAGGGTACACATGCACTTTTAGTTCACATTACTAACCAGCTCATTAGTCACAGTGGATACGAAATTGTCCTCCCCACCAGCAATGTACTCAGAGCAGCTTCCTTAATCAAATATTTCTAAAAATGTAATGAAAAATGTAAGCCCTGCCCACAACAGAGGGGGAAGCAGGAAGCCCGAATCTGGTCCTCCCACTTGCCTACCTTCTTTTTTTTAATATATTTATTTTAATTAGGTATCTAAGACAGCAGAAAGAATTTTTGAATGTCATTTGGACAGTGACATTTCAGAAGTGAAAAAAAGAAATAAGTGTCTCACACACTCATGCAGAATCTCCTCCTCCAGCGACAGAACCTGCTTCACGCACATGCAACCTGTGCAGTTATACAAGACCTGGGATTCAGAAGCTCCTCATGCTGGCTTTAATGCCCTGCTGGCGCCATCTTGAAATTCTTAATCATTTTTTAACAAGGATCCTGCACTATCATTTTTCACTGAGTCCTGAAACTCCTGCCTGAAGACCTCTCAGAGTGCAGGGTGTTGCCTTACCCTCTCCAACTCCAGGGATAAGCTGAGGCGTGAGCAGTTAAGGAAGACATCAAGGAGCCCAGTCACTTACCCGAGTTTGTTGATCAACTTCACAGAGCCACAGTATATACACAGGGAACCCATAGAGATGATTCTCCCCACCAGGTGTTTCTGCCTCTGTTTGCTCTGTTTCTATTTTCCTTAATTAGGTAGCTTCTTGTAGGAATTTAGGATACAAATAAATCCATGTCTTCTGAATGCCCCAGGGCCATGGACTCTTGCCTGTTAAGGACTAAAATTTCCCACCATAAGGATGGATTTTGAGAAGACTAAAGAACAGGAACCATTATACGAGCAAAGAGGTTTCTGAGAAATTTAGATGTGAGTGCCTCTGGATCCCCAGATCCCAGCATAGAACCTGCAAACAATGAGTGGCCATGAACTTGTGTGGCATAGTTGGAACGGAGCCTCCCCAGAACAGCTGTACTCATCCCTGTGGGTCCTGACCCCTGGGGATGTCTGGAGCTCTCCCCCTTGAGAGGCCCAGTTGAGCGCCCACAGACCTCAGGATGTGAAACTCACAGACCAGAGGGCGTGAACTACAACTTGAAACACGCAGGAGGCGTGACACTGCAGAAGCGGGACAGGATACATTGAAATTGGATAGACACATTGAAAGAGTGCTTTACAGAAGGCAGCCCGAGACCATCCATGTAGAATTCCCAGGAACAAGGGAGTACTCAGATCCCTGGGCCTGTCCCACACCTACTGATTCAGATGATCAAGAACTAGAACTCAAGACAAAGAACTAGGACATTTTGGGCAAACTTCCAAGGTGATTCCTATGTACAGTAAAGTGTAGTAAAGTGTACTAAAATGCCCTAAATTCTGGGAAGACTTTTTTGTCCATCTGAGCTGGTATAGAAGGGGACCTGCTGGAGAACGAAAAATATATAATAATCAGGCACATAGGAGTGTCAGTCCCCACCCTGTCACCCCGTTTCGCTTGGTCATGCTTCACTGGATATACCCATCCAAGAGCATTGACTGAAGGTGCAGTCAGGAACAGCTGACATGCCAAATTAGGAGCACACGCCCCTGCTAAGCCCAAAAAGGAGAAACTCCGCCACTGGGGCCCTTACTTCTTTTTAAAGTCTTCCACCAGATGCTGCATGTTCTTCAGGTCTCCCTCCAGGCTCCCCTCTCCCCCGGAAACAAATCCAACTGCTTGCTCAGGAAGCTGATGTAGGATTCAAAGAAAGGTGCCAGACTGTGGGGGCCCAAGCCAGAGATTATGCTCTGCTGCTGGAGCAATTCCCACTTGCTCTCCAGGACCTTGTTTTGCTGTTCCAGGATCCTCACCTGCACCAGAAGAAAAGGCAAAGAGCCCCTTGAGTTGAACAAGCGGGGCCACCACTCCAAATGGTAGAAATGGAGGGCCTGGGAATGCGGCTCAGTGGTAGAATGCTTGCCTTCTATGCCTGAGGCCCTGGATTCAATCCCCAGCAACGCCAAAAGAAAAAAACAAGGGTGGAAATGTGGAGAATTTTTTGTTTGTTTGTTTGATTTATTGGTTTCATTTCATTTTGTTTGTTTTTTTTGCTTGTTTTGTTTTTAGTCCTGGGGATTTAACCCAGGGGTGCTTTACCACTGAGCCACATCCTCATCCCTTTTTATTTTTTTATTTTGAGACAGGGTCTCACTAAGTTGCTTAGGACCTCATTAAATTGCTGAGGCTGTTCTCAAACTTGCAATCCTCCTGTCTCATCCTCCTGAGTGGACCCAGTTCTTGAATCCACAGTTGCCTTTGTGCTTTGGCATTTGGGAAGGATGAGGATTAGAAATGGGAGAGCTAGGGGCTGGGGCTGGGGCTCAGTGGT